TGTAAACAGCTGAGGAGAAAATTCGAAATACCTGAATTCAGCGTATCCTATTAAAATGTTTTTCTTCTTGCTATTTTGAAATTGTAAAGGGAAAACCCTGCATGAAATTTGTGGTTAGAACTGAAAGCTTTTGTGATGTCCTGCTTATATGCGGTTTTGTCTTCTCTGGGCAGTCGAGTGCAGTGGTCGCTTTGGGCTACCTAGTTCTCACAATTTTCTGGTGTCGGAGTTTCTCTGTACAACGCCCAAGCTGCTTTGCACACTGTCATCGATTCACGAGTTTTGCTGCTAACGAAAGTAACTGATTTAGACCCATTGCACACTCTTCTACCTGAATCAACTGTAACCAGCCGACTGAATTTTTTGAAGAACTCCAGCCAAGCGACTTCCGGGGTTCTTCGACAGGGAATGACCAGTTTGTGACGCTGACGAGCTGGGCTACTCCATCGCAGCGTGTGATAGTGTGCACCGTCTCACGGATCTCATTACGATGTTCCGCGTATCAGGCGCAGTTGCAAAGAATGAATGCATGCTCACTGCGAAATAAATGACAATCTACAACGAACATATCAATCAAACGTTCCCCGTTGGTGAACATAACAAGATCTAGCACAGATGGACGTTTTACGTGTTTTGGACCGAGTAGGCAGTGTCATAATTATAGAGAGGAGTATTGGTTACGGGCTCATGTAGATCGGCTTTGAATTATTCTCCAATCGTGGCAGCGGTTTCTAAACAACCTACGTTGAAATCACCCATGATAAGAATGTGAGTGTATCTGCTTTTTAGGGTGCGCTTTAAAGCAGCCGCAAGATGAAAATCGATTTCCGGTGTAAAGTTAGGGGCGGTAGAGCAAGGTAGCAAAGCAAGTGTTTCTGCTTTTTAAATACGGACGGCACCAAAGAGAACCGCGAAACTTGGAGTCGGAATCCTCCACGACTTCGCACTGTAAGTCGCTTCGGACATACGGAATTACTCCTGCTTTTGTGAGTCTCTCGTTCCTGACGAGCTACATTGCTGGTAGCGAAACTTCAGCGTTTGTCATTCCAATGTACAACGACGTCTCAGTAATACTTAAGAAATCATATGACCAGGAAGCTTAGCGACAGCTGCAGTTTAATGGCTCATCCTCTACCTCCCGGAGTTAGCTTTCATTTGAGAGCACATTTTGCTATGTGGACCGGAATTCAGAAACTTACGCGTGTATTTTTGCGGGAACAATACGGAAGATGCGTTGTTTAAGTAAAAACGTGATACACACAACCTAGCTCCGAAGGAAGAAGGCACCAAATAGCGCTTGTGCAGCCTAAGCGAATGAGCGCAAACACAAGTGTGTGTTGGGGGTAGTGGCAGTAACTCCGATCTAAGTACGGGAACTGAGCGAACGTTACCGAACAGTATAGTGTTACACCAAGCAGTGGTCTGTCATCCACAACTCCTTGATCTTGTTCAAGTCAAGTCTAGAAATTACTTTATGAACTCTTAGCGGATAAACACAGTGTAACATACACGATCTCAGCAGTGTACTGAAATATAAAGCAATTTGGGAACAGTACCATAAAAAGCGGTTCGCTAGATGATGTTCGGAACTTTCATCAGGTTTCAAATTGGCTGGTTAGTTATAGAACGAAACAGATGAGGTCTAACAAAATACGTGAAAGATAAAAGGTGGTCGACGGGCGATAGGCTTTTGTGCGAACATATATCAAGTTGTATTAATGCCTAATAGATGATTTTGGCAGACGTTCAGATAAAGTGCTAGGAAGTGGATGAGTTTTATCGGCAAGTGTCTTAGATGTCAGTTTCTTACAAGAATTGATGACTGTAGACAGAAATGTGTTGACAAACGCGGGTATCGGAACGCCGCCACATCGGGATAAATGCCTTAATTATCTGAATAGTGACTCAAAGTGTTTATCTATACGATCGGGAATAATCACAGTGGTGCAATGCGTTCAGATCGGAAGAACACATGCATTGACAAGGAGAAGGATCAAATCACGAGCGGCAAAGGAGGCTCTTAGACGAGAGGCGTAGAACGACAACCTTACTTTGGTGGACGTTTCATTTCCATGAAGCGTCCAAGATAAATGGTAGTTTAATGCTACACCTAGGTAATTCACTGATGTACCAGAGTGTAATCCATCGCTAACAATAACCAGCTTGTGGCACTGCGTAAGAAGATGTTCGTACTTGGCTCCGTCGTGTAGCGAAACATGAACTTCATGACAATTTGATGCAATCTGAGACAGATTACGAGCTTTGATCAAGCATTGACGTCGTTCAGAAGATCTTGCAGCCTAAGTTGGTAATCGGTGTTTCGATGATTAATACCCCGGACGATGTCGTCCGCGTATTTTAGCAGGGTCAGTTTTGCAGGGCCTGGTATTCAGCTGACCCAAGTAGAAAAGAGATAAGCAACAGAACTGCTCCCTGAAAAACACTGGAGTTGGTGCTTAGTGGGAATGAGCATCTGCCACGGAATCGGGTAAGCTGAGTGCATCCAGCATTAGGCCAACGTCGGGCTGTGTGGCATGTTTACACTGAGGATTTCGACATCAGTTATTACTGTATAAGCAAATGGCGACACTATCAGCTCACAAATGCAGTGATCACTTGTGCATATACACTTCCATTTTCCTCAGTTAGCAAAGTTTGACCTTAAGTGAATAGAGCCTGTCTACTCGAAAGCGAATTAACCAATGACATTTCCTTGAACTATACTCACCGAATCTATCGATAACCGATGTAAATGAGTAATGCACACCCGCCCAGCGCACATCTGGAGGACTCTGCCCTTTTTCTACCACTATTAATTACCCACGTACACCATCGATGTGTTTTGTGTAAGTTCACTCCCTGGTGAGCGGTCAGCGGGTTGCCCACGTCTTTTGTCCATGATCCTATTGTTATATCGTTCACAGTTCCATCGGTTACCCAATCCCCCTCACTTTACTAGCTTGAGGTCAGCGCGACAGGGTAACTGAATCAACCGCGCCTCGGTGCGTCGGCTCTAGTCAGGTCGCTGAATTGAACACAACCGTGTCGCTGTTCGTCTCACCGCTGTTGCCCAACTCGGTTAAGCAATGGAAATGATTTGTGGCGGGCAACAAAGTTCGTGTTTGTACAAACCCGTTGGATGACCACGTCGAGAATTGTAAAAGCAAAGAAAAGATATACCGGTAAAATAAAACAGGTGTTAGTAGGGGGACGTAACAGCACCAGAGAGGTTTCAACAGGGAAGAAGAAAGGAGATCATTTATCCGGTTTTCGTTGCTATTACGCTAACCTACACTTTAATACCTGCTTGCGCTGGAGGCCCAAGTATGGGCGGTTCAAAGTATGGTTTACGAACCCAGGGCGGGAACAAAGCCATCCGTTGCGGCAAATGCCAACAACCATATGCTTTAATTCTGACCACCGAAGTTTCACCAATCTGCGGACTCTCCACTGCAGACTGCGTGCCGCAATCTGCTTCTGTCTGCATTGTGAGTGCACATATATCTTCGGCTCACAAGCGTCTTTCTTCCTCATCATCCGCAGTTTGTCCAGCGCAACACGTTATCCACATCGAGGATCTCAGTTACTGAATGTAAACACTGGAAGCAGTGTGGGCCGCCCCCGCTGATGAAACGTGGTTTCCATCCACACGCCTCCCGGTCTTATTCCTTCGGATTTACACTGGATATGTTGATTGTAGATGGAGCTGTGGATGGGGCAACACAGGCCACCCATGGTCCCTCTGAAGGCGCAGGCGTCCTGTGGCTGTCCTAAGGAGGCCGAACTGACAGGCAATTCCGGAACCGGATGCTGCCAACCATGTGTGTTGCATTTATTCTGCTTCATTGCAATTGGACTAAAATGACCTACCCTTAGCTTTTTCCGCATTACACTAGATTTAACCTACGCCACTTTATTTGCAGTTTCGTCTCCTGTGCGTAATCTTTGTTTGTTTCGCGCGATTTATCTATCTTTCACTTTCCATGTTAGTCGATTACTATGCCCTGATTTACGCTCACAATGCTCTAGAATCACCCTAACAGTAGATTAGACTTAAGGCGCTTTTTTGATTTACTCAGTTCTGTCATTCTGCCCCACATTTACTGTCCTGTTTGCATGCTTATCTTTCATATTCTTTCCTATTCATACGATGTCTCATGCCGAGGTAAATGTTGTAAACATCATGCTTCTTCACCGCAGTTGGGCTACACCGGTTTACACTACAACTAGACCTTTCTTTAACCTGGATAAAGAGTATGCATCTTTGTTTGATTTGTTCAGTCGTCTTATTCTGCTGTTTATTCCGTGTCAATTTTGCATGTTGGTTTTCCCTCAAATTCTATCTTGGTTGTTTGATATCCCCCGTGCTGCTGCGCTTGATGTGAATGTTGACAAGGTGGTTTCTTGTCTAACAACATCCACTGCATTGCTGGCTCCAGAAGATAGTGAATCGTTGCTGTAGGGGACGGGTGCACGGTCCCTGTGGCCGTACTAGGCTCAAAGAGTTGTTCCCGCCAGTGTAGAGCGGACTACGATCTATCCACCGCATCGTGTGCGCTTGTTTCCCCAAATACAGCGTGTTTGTGTTTGCCTGTGAAGGAGTATGGGCCGTCTCCGTTGATGAAACGAGGCTCCCATTCGCATGTCTCCCGTTCTTATTCCCTCGGGTTTACGCAGGATATTGGGTGTGTGGATGGAGCTGTGGGTGGTGCAGTGCAAGCCACCCGTGTTCCCTCTGTAGGCGGAGACGCCCTATGACTGTCCCTGTGGAGGCCACTGTGACAGGCGAATCCGGAACCGGATGACGCCTACCATGCATCGGAACGTTATTTTAGGTGCGCCTCTGCCACGGAATGTGAATGGCTGACGGAAAGATTTGCTTAATTACCACTGCCCGAAAATGTGGACACCGAGCCTGTAAATCGGTAAAACGGTTATTAAGCAAATATGGAATATTTCCACATGATATTATCAAACCTACGTTTACATTTATTTTCCAGTATTTAATTGACGGAGAAGAAGTCAAAAACGATTACTGCAAATTAGCGATGGCTTACAGCGGAAACTCGGTGAGCGGTTTTCTTTTATCCACCAGTGCTCTTCATAGTTATTGTCACCATGACCGAATTTCCAGAATCCATGTTTTCATAAATGCAACTCTATAGTACTTCGTGACACAATCCCTCCCTCTTTATCACACCGTGATTGCCGCGGCTCACGATCGATGCTCGTACTGATAAACATAGGCCAGACAGGCCGTGACCGATGGTATCGCTCCGATTGTCGTGAACCATCATGTGCCATCGGGCTGTGTGACACGCAGTGTCTGTTAGACTTGTTCAGAAGGAGAAACTATGAATTCTCAGCCAAATGACTTCGGCGCGTGGAACCTCAATGATCGGGCTTATCCAGAATGTGGGAACCACGACAATCCAGAGGGTGGCCCGACATACCCCCAACCTGGCTACTACGGTAGCCCACAAATGGGTCCATGTGCATCTCAACAAGGTTTCGGATTTCCTTGCACTCCAATAACCCAACCCGCATTCGGAAGTCCACAGTCACCGGTACAACCAAACTATCAGTTGTACGTGTGTCCTCTTGGATTTCCTCCGCAGCAACAGCCGTGTGTAAGCCACGCATTAAAACCGCTACATTTTTGTACTTTTTTGATATGATCCGGTAAAATATCGGGTTACCTTTTATTAGCTCAACATAGTCGAAAGAGTACAGTGCTAGCGGCTTACTGACGATGTGGCACTGTAGAGCCGATCTTGTTCCTCAAGCGTAGATACCCAACAAATAGTGGTTTTGGCCAACATCCCCAACAAGTGCGAAAGCCGTCGTGGAGTGCAGTATTTTCCGGCATGCAACAACCAAAATGCATCCGGCTACCTGACCAGTTTTGTGCACCGGCTTTGTGTCCCCTCTGTGACAATACGAGCCTGATGCACAGTGTAGCAGCCTGCTGAGAGCGGCTATGAAAACAGTAGTAAACCATAACGGGTGTGGTGTAGGGATCAACATCGCTATAGCTTAGAAATACACAACGGCACAACCGGGCCAATTCACTGCGGTTTACTCAAACTTTCATATCCAAATCCTCTGGCTTCATACTAAAGATATACAAAAACGCACCACTTTAGAACTTTTTCCTTCCGCAAACTAACGGGGTGATGAGGGTTTTACTACAGTGGGATACTATGATTGCTTCGCTTCGGGAATAATAATGCAACAGTGTAAGCACAATCACATAATTAGTGCACAACGTAAAAGCACCAAAGCAGTCCTTTATAACGTAAAAATAACTGATCTAGAGCACCCAAGTGGGGGTTTGTTGGGTGTTGACCGCTCATAACACGCGGAACTCCACGACTGGTTTTGAACATATTCGACCTCATCAGGTAGAGTGCTTCCTAAAACCGTATAACCAGTCATTGACCGTCATAACAAGCGTTGTCCATCTTGGCAGGGTTGTTAAAGAGGCAAACATTGCGCTAATGTTCCAATAGCCCTGGGCTCAAGGCCTGCTATCTCTACCTGATGAGATAAAACAGGGTCGAAACGCGTAGTGGTGTGCAGCGTTTTCACTCGGGTAACACCCAATATCCGTCTGCTCTAGCATTCACAGTCCCAGTGCTTGAATTTGCCAAGCTTCACTTCAATGAGAATCGCGCTCCACTTAGAGATAGCGGGTCGCAATCCAATCACACGACGCTCCAATCTAATTGGAATTGTTTTGAGTTCCACTATCTCTATTCTTGAAAGATGCATGCGTGCGAATGGGGTACTTAATTCGAACTTTCATTCCATTTTCAAACGATTTGTCGTGCATCTACAGAGGCAAATTTTGTAGGATGCGATAATTCTTTAGATAGCATGTTCTTCTAGATTTTAGACGTTTGACTCTGACTTGTCTATCAAAGCATATATTACCGTAAATTTTGTTAAATAAGTACTAGATTACTTTGCTGTTTTATAACTCCCGACTTTGTAGTGAGCAGTATGTAGTTCTGAATAGTGAATTGCGTCAAAGCTGTTCCTTCTTAGAACTTCGTAGAAGTGTAGCATTGTACCTCCTTGCTGGCTAGTGCTACTGATAGTCAAATCGGTGACCTGAAATGGTACCAGCAGTCACCTGATTCGGAAACAACTTGCTAGGTAGGCTGACAAGATTGTTTTGGTCCTCCGCGGTTCAATGTCCTTAGTGCTTACACGGCACCGTTGAACAATGTTGTATTGGTAGATATGTGTGAGGTCCAGGGCTACCTGATACTATTGGGAAAAGATATCTTTAAGTCATCTGTGCGCAGAAAAGTTTCAGGCCGCTAGCCTCACTTTAGACACAATCGATTTCCTGCGGTTGACGGAGTCACATGGCTTGAACTCACAATGCTACCGTTTTCCTATAGCTTGTTCCTTGTTCCTCAGCAAGCGGACACATGCATTTTTTCCTGTACCAACCTTGCAGGGTCTCACAAAGGGCACAAAACTTGGATGCCTCTTCTCATGAAGTAAACCACGTAGCTTTCTTTGAAGCCTGTCTTTATGCCGTATAATCTAACAACAATGGTACTCATGCAAACTACTGCAAAAATTTTGACATTTAATACCTCATCAAAGTCACCTATTCGCACGCTATCTAACTGCAGCGGTTAACAGAGCTGAGACAAGAGGATCCATTCGCGTTTCGTTATTTTTCTCAACTTTCCGACCCTTCATTTTTCAATTTGTAAAAATGTGAGCAGCTCTCCGTGTATTCTGAATTGCAGTCTGCCAGAAATGAACCTGGTCAGTTGAACATCCTCTAGGTTTCCTTCAATATGGTGGCCTCAATTGGCCGCAAAATTAGTGTCTAGATCCCTCACTGATTCGTGGTCCGCTGCCTATTTCATTGTGTTTAAAGCTGCCATCCATCGATGATTGTTGTTTGGTGAGGGACGTAAAGTTGTATCGAATTAGGATTAACGAGCTGCCTTTGTTTGACCTGGTACGCTAAGTTGCCAACTGTGATCTAGACGCCCATGGAATGTGACCGAATGAACAGAATGGGTCCGTGTGACCAACTTGATAGCCACGGGGACGCTTACCGTACAGGCCGCACTTTAATCAAGCTGCCTCGGGGAATGGTAGCGGTTTGGCTACGTCCCAATAACCTCCCTGACCTGTTTGACTAAGTTAACGTGGAAATATCATTTGTTTTCATGAGCAACGAAGTTGCCCCTAGCTTTAAACACAGTTCAACGGCTTGGTTATTTCTGGATATAATCCTGCACTATCAATATGCGAATTTTGAGAGTTGCGTACCCGTGCATCACAACGAATCAACTTCATTTAACATTCTGTCTGTTTTGTGACAATGCACGTAGCGCTTTCTAGCCCAATTTCGGTAAGTGAAATGCAATGACAATCCAACGCAGCATGATACACTACCCTGAGGTGTAACGGCTCCCCGGCCATCAAGCTATACATCGGTGTACCTTCCATTCAGTTCTGGTAGCGATGTACGGATGTCTTTCATGTGAGCTACAAAGTTGTAGCCTACACTTCATCACCACTCCGCTAGTGCATTTTGCTAAAACGCTACCCACGAAAACATATTGGTGCGCGACTATTCATTATCCGCTGTGTAGCAGAAGTCAAAGTTGCTTCCTGAAGTATCAGTCACCCACGTTGACTTACCGCCCAAAGTTGGCATTGGTTCCGTAGTAGTATAAGTGCAGGTATTGAAGCGTATAAGCACGCAGAACAACTGTATCCGCACGAAGAGCTGTTACACACTAGGTTCATGGTTAACAGCTGGACGAGCTGGTTCTACCGAGCATGGTTTGCATTGTTCGATCGCATTTACTTGTACGTTTTCTCGACCTACCGTCTATTTCTACTACTTGCTTGTTTCGGTCTATATATTTCGTTTCAGTTCAATCCTACCCTACGCCCTTATCCGCACTTCAATGCCGAAGAGGACTGTGAGAAGCTACGCAAAGCGATGAAGGGCATTGGTACCGACGAGAACGCCATAATCGATGTACTAGCACACCGAACAGCGGATCAGCGTGTTCAGTTGGTTAAACAATTCAAAATCATGTACGGCAAAGATTTAATTAGCGAGCTGAAGTCAGAACTGACTGGTCATTTTGAAGATGTGGTCGTGGCGATGTGCTGCACATTGGACGAACTGGATGCGCGTGAGCTACGAGAAGCTATGAAAGGTGCAGGTACAGACGAAGACACACTTATTGAAATTTTGGCTTCTCGAAGTAACGAACAGATACAGAAAATCAAAGAAACGTACAGTTCTCGTAAGTTCGTGTGATTACTTTTAAATTCTGCCACAGTTTCATGGTACTAATCAATTTAGCTAGAAAACATTTATACGTTTAAAGCTTTCAATGATAATTGAATGTTTGGTGTGCGAGACATTTTGACTGAAACGGATAAATATTATGTACCCCTGTATAATCGGGTCACCAATGGAACACATCAATAGATACGGCTCTTAGCAATTGTATTTAAAACACCCAACTTAACCGGTACTCCGACCAATTCAATTTGCTATGCTGGCACACTAGTTAACCGGACCATGCCCGTGTAGGCAAGTAAGCTTCAGTCGCCTCCTGTGTAACCTCTGTACTAGGTGTGCATCAGTTAAGATACCACTCAGATTTAGTACGTGCACGGAGTCAGTAACCCCGAAGTCCGCCATCTAGCATTTAAAAGATCCACGCTGGAGCATCCACTAAACTCCAGTCATTTACAGTGATGATCAAATAACTTGGTCTATGATCTTCGCTGATGCTACCCTCCGTCAAATGAAGCAGCAAAACGGCGTGAGGTAACTGCTGAGGGGATTGGATCCGACTAGTGCGTTCCGCCATCCTGGATGTGGGCCTCGGTATACGCCAACTCATAGAGCAGACTTCAATAGATAGAAGTCAGGGGATATTTTGTATCACCTCACTTGGCTATAATTTTCCTTCGCTTCACCTTGCGATTCGCGATTTTTGCCAGGTCACTCTAGGTGACCTTATTCTGTTTGTTTTTATCCGTCACATTTCATCCTAGTTTAGTTTACTGTTATCGCTATGCCAGCGCCTGAATGAAGGCAGATGGTTTCACTTAGCTTACCTACGTGGGCGGTGGTCGGACAGATGTGCTTCGATCACCCCTGCAGGATTGTGAGACTGTTGGAGGACATTGCTTAGCTTAAAAATGTTACTTAAGTGAACTGAAACAGATGGTAGTTGGAGAGGGACATTTTGTCACTGATGTGGCGTGCTCAATTAAATTGAGGTTATGAAGTGGTTCTTTGGCGCAGTGGAGACGCCATCCTCAGGATGCCTTCGTCTCAGTCCTACCTTTAATCCATACTCCAACGCCATTTGCCTGACAGCTAAGTGATCGATAAATAAGAATATTGACAGACTATATCACTATTAAGCTGGAGGCCCATACAGTATTCTCCTGTCTTAATGGTTCAACTACTAAGAAACGTCTCATTCATGTAACTAATCCAAGAGAATCACTCGAAGCGATATGGGAGCAGACTTCTGTGCGTTGTGGGCACTTCGTTTGCATTGAATAGCTGCGAACTGTCCATCAATGTGTGCCTCACTTAGACTTACCAATAATGCAACATTGTTTGGAAGGGTCATTTTTGAGCACTCGTTGTGTGAATGGATCACGACGCGTCATCTCACGACTGCCACTGAAGCAAACCTTGGTCACTGGGACCGTGACTGATGAATCAACTGGGTATTGGGTGTTACTCGCCCCCATCACTGCACTCAACAACCGGTCTCGAAATTGTTTGCTCTTATTCGTGGACATAGGAGGTAGTCGAACACGGGGCCATTGGCATGTTTCCAAACCTCTACCCCTAAGCTCCGCTCCTGTGCCTGGCATTTCCGTCTGGTAAGCGCATCTAGTTTGTAGTAGTCATGGAGTGCGACATTTTGGGGGGCTGCTTCAACAGTTGCGGTCCCAGCGATCGAACTGCCTAAGATTGCTTCCAATACGAGTCACGGCCCACATTTCGATTGCGTGTTGCAATCCATCCACACAACGTGCACTTCAAAATGACCCCCCAAAATCAATCATTAACCGTTGTGCTTCGTGATCTGATAACTAAAGTAGTAGAGGTCCCAACTAACACCCCAATGGTCTCGGGTTCGATGCATGCTGTCTTTACCTTATAAGATCAAGCAACCTCGAAACCAGTCATACAGCGCAGACTTTTCGGGCTGTCAACACGCGATCTCCAAACGCAACGTTGTTGTTGTTGTTGTTGTTGTTGTTGTTGTTGTTGTTGTTGTTGTTGTTGTTGTTGTTGTTTTATAGCAAACCATGTGAACGCAGCATTGTCTTTGCGTTTTTGATTAGCAGCGCGACTATAAACCTGGCTGTTTTCTGAACCTCAGCTCTGATTTCGGATCTACTGGTGCAGGACCGCCCCTACATGTTTCGCTTTACGCAGTGCCCATTCTAGCTAAATTCCCAAACCCAGGCTTTGCGTCTGTCCGCAGCATAACGCTGCTGCGTATGCATACAGCGAGATGCAATATTCATGCAAATGGTCCTACAGCGTCCAGGATAGAATTGTAACCTTTTGTAAATCTCGTACCTGATAGGATGTCCTCGACTGCCTACTGCTCGAAGTGCTAGTCGTTACCCTCAATAAGGCAGTCGATCCCAACTACTCTTACTCGTCTTTCAGGAAAACCATCGTCTCTGCACATAGAGGAACCTCGATTATTGTGAGTAACATTTGGCAACACAGGCGACCTGGCAGATGTTCCCTTACTAATCCACATCCTCAGGAACTATTCTGTCCGTGCTTACCTTTTTTCTGACAGGGCATGGGCCGAAAGACAGAAGCGTAAATCCAGTCCGAGCGCGTCACATCAAAAGGAACTGACGAAAAAAGGTACTAGCTCGGGGTGTGCCGAAATTAAAGCATGGCGACAGCAGTGGACGGCAAAAGCGCGATATTTAAGAATGGCTGTACATCAAAGAGCATTGTAACATACAAAACCTCACCGCTTTTGACATGACATGTCTAGATTCCCCTCCAAACTACCACGGCAGCGGGCCGAATTTTGAGTTACCTTGGCCACGCCCGAGATGCTATCAATGATGATCCAGGCGTGGCATGACAACAGGAAACTTGTGCCATCAGAAATACTGTTAAGACCATTCCTTTAAGCAGTACAGACCCCAAGTACAGATTAACCAGACTCAGGTGTTCCTACCTTAGATCAGCCAACCGTAAAACATCTGTTTCAGAAAACTTCAACCGACCGGCACTATTTATGTGAATCAAACGCAGCGAACAGTGAGCTTAATACTTCAGCAAATGCCATGCTACTACCTCAAGACCCATGGGTTGAAATCTAAGCTTCCGGAACTCTGCCCTCGACATAAAACAACGATTTGGGATATCATAGCATATAATAATAATAATGATAATAATAACAATAAGGTTTATTTCTCGTGGTACCGAGAAACCGAGCCCACAAAGGGACGGATCATATTTACATTGTAACATGCGAGACATGTCAATGAGAGACAGTCAATGGTTTGACATTTTACAGGATTACGATAGAGATGTTTTAGCGAATATTTTCATCCGGGACTTTCGTCGCCGTATGTTTTCAGTTCGCAGGCATTCTCATTTGGCTGTTTTCGGTGCGGCTTGGTGGTGTCATGATGGCGGTGGTTTGATGGGGGGGGAGGGAGTATGAAAAGGATGAAATAATTAGATTCACCAATCAAAATCATATGGGTAATAAACAATCGTACTTAGAACACTGGAGTAATACAGTTGGAGCTAATTGTAAGCAGCAAGTTAGGGAATTGAGAAAATAAGGAAAAGACTGCATTAAGGTTCCTCCAGTGGATTATCGAATTCAAGTTGCTTGAGCAGAATAATATAGGCAGTACTCACATCGTAGGGATATAAGACATAGCGTAGTACATATACATTACTTGGTCTAATTGTGGTGTTGAACTAATCAACTTGTGTTTTGGGCTGCCGGATGTTTCAGATGCTGGGTGAGCTCAGTTACATTCCATTCAGCCTTCACTTGTAGGTGGATATTTAGGGCATGCGTGACTACGCACGGTAAAGTTAATGTTGAAAAGGGAGAATTAAACGGATAAATAGACAAATAAATAAGCGCCTATTCACTGCAGTCAGGAATTATTCCGTGGCTCGTAGTCTTGTAGAAGAAGCCAAAGGCAGGGTGATTAGGAAAGTGTGCAATAGTTATCTGATTCTTAGTGGAGAGATATAGAGGAAATGCACCACAAATAAGAGCGAGGCTATGGTCTAAGTAATAAGTTAATGGGAAATATCGGTAAGACAGTAGGGCGGTGGAGGTGAAGTAATTAGGAACCAGGAGCACAACAGATTCAGTGTAGAAGGAGATAGGGTAAGAAAAACAAGTAAAGTAATGCGATTATTCGTGAAACCGTCTTCCGGGGACCTGCTTCCATGCGGGGTAGTCCCTGGAGAGGTTCATCCGCACCTCTACGCCCCATCTGGTCATTTACCGGTGTGGTTTAAAAGCACGCTGGCCACTACCGATTTTATTCATCATTTGGGCAATTGTATTCTTATTTCTGGTGAGCTAGTCATCCCTTTTGTCATTCATAGCTTTTGCGTGTATGATGACCGGAATCACCGGTTAGCGTCATATGCCATTAAGTGTGATTTCAGCAGTTCAGATTTGACCGTTTTTTAATTTCAGCACAGTTTTTATATTCACCAGTGGGTTTTTTGATGTGGGTGTACATGTTGCTTAGAAGCTTCGAACCATCACCTCAGGAGATCTGCCCACTCGTGACCAACGGAATAACAGGAACAATGGAACAATGGATTTATGCGGGTATAAAAGCTAAAGCTTGACAAATCCCGTAGGGTGATCAGTGCGAAAATCATAGAAGTGTGAAAAATTCAATGGAAACCAATTCAGTAAAATCGTTTAACAACGAGTCACTACAAGCTTGTGGACTCACCGAGTTTGAAGTGTCAAAATAATAATCCACTATAACTCCGGAGGGGATCATGAGATATGGAGAGTATTTGGTTAAAAGAGTCACCGCCCCTTGAAATTCGCATGGGGCAACGTGTTTGAGTTTGAAGCGTCAAAATATGAATCCACTGTTGAAATAAGCGTGGGGAAAAATTATTTTTAAAGTATGGATTTTGGATCTCTCAAAATTAGACTGTACTATGGGAGATAGTGCAATGAAGTGAGTGCACTATCAACTCGATTTTTGAACTCGATCAGGTTGGGTG